CGAAAAAACTTTTCATACAAAATTTTTAGGTATTTATGAGACCTACAAAGTGAGTCTACACGTAAAAAGATCCGACTACTAGCAGAAATGTTATGACCGAAAAACGAGGCGAAATGCAGGTTTTGGCATTTGTTGGTAATATGACGATAATTTCACGCAACTGTTTGATTTTTTTCAATTCGTAGGATTCCTACTTATAAATAACAACAACAAAATTGGATTGTATTGGTCAAGCAGTTTTCTGAGAATTTCTAATTGTTTATCCCAAAACACCTGTTTACCGGCCATCAGTACTAGTTTGTTGAGCAACATACAGGGTTCATTCAAAGAGCATTTAATAGCAAAATACACGTGTTTACCTTGCTGATATGAGCCACAAACCATTCCGAAAGATAAATGTTATTTTTATGCAAAAAACAAAGGTTAGGTTTTTTTTCTTCTAAACAAATTCAAACATTTAGTATTTGTGAGTAATTGAAAATATGCGCTACGATATTCGAAAAACAAAGCGGATGTGTCTATCATCTCTTGTTGCGAATTACATATCTCTATTTAGCGCCTAAATTTTATGAAATTATACCTATAGACTTAAAAGATTTACGTTTCGGAAATTGTTTCAAAAGAAATTTAAAAAAGTGGCTACATTCTATATCTAGGACTGAAATTTATAAACTCATAAATACGAACATCAACTAAATACATAATCAATCTACTGTAGCTAATTTTTGTCCTTTTTTGTCATTTGCATTCTACAGTTTCAACTTAAATTTATTGGTCCATGTACAGGCGATGCCTTCTATTGGGCCTGTTTTGATTTTATATTTATTTACTCATATTGTTTGTTATCTTTGTACATTGAGTGAATAAATACTATTATTATTATTACTCACAAATCCGAAATGTTTGAATTTGTTTAGAAGAAAAAACGTAACCCATCCTTTTTTGCATAAAAATAACATTTATCGTCCAGAATGGTTTGCGATTCATATCGGCAAGGTGAACTAGTGTATTTTGCTATAAAATGCACTTTCAACAAACCCTGTATATTGCTCAATAAACTAGTAGTGATGGCCGGAAAATAGGTGTTTTGAAATAAACAATTAGAGATTCTCAAAAACTACTTGACCAATCTACTCCAATTTTGTTGTGGTTATTTATAAGTACGAATCCCACAAATCTGAAGAATTTCAAATATCTGCGAGAAACCTCGATTTTCGGCCATAAGTTTTTTGGTATTAGTCGGTTTTTTTTACGTGTGGTCTCATTTTGTAGCTGTCATAAAGACCTAAAAACCTAAATGAAGAGTTTTTCGTTCCTGCCAACACATTTGATTGAATCCCAAAAAACCGGTTTTCTCGTTCTTTGTTGTCGAATGAAAAGTTTTGCCACAAAAATTGGTGTACCCTTTTATGCGTCCATGTTTTTGAATACCTCTTTGAACAACTTCCAGCAATAAAACCAGACTTTACGATTATTTCGCAAACCATAGGTATTTTCGTCTAATATGATTAGACTATATACATAATGTGCACTTACTCAGCGGATACCACCCAAATACATTACATATTTGTCTCTGCAAACGCCTTGTGCAAGACTTGAATAACTTCCTCCGGATGTTTCATAATTCGTTGTAGTTTTCAGAAAGGTGCCCTCACTTATTTTTTCATGGGGTCAAGCTAGGCAAGGTATATTTTAGCGTAAAGATGACAGATGAAATTTTCAAATTAGCCCAATCAAAAAATAATTGGTTGAGATCTTGTTGAGAAGCACAGTATTTAAGAATCGCAGTGTTGGGCCAAATTTAAAGCCATTCTCCATGCAAAATAGAAAACTATTGAGTTTGAAGCCGTAACAAAATAAATGATCGGAAGGTCAGAAACGGAAATTGTTTATTTCAAGCCTTCGGGAATGTTTATTTCTATCTTCAGGATGTGCTACAAGATTAATGCATGATCTGCAAAACACACCTCATTATCAAGAAAAAAACTACTTACAACGTTAAAATCCTGTTTCAAGATCTCAACAAATGGAGAAACACCAATAAGACGTGAAAACAACAAATTCATAGGTCACTGTATGAAAAACTGGTCATTGTTAAAATACGGACTAAATGTTGGAGGTGGTAATAGATACCTGTTAATGATAGCGAAATACGCCTATAGATACGGATACTTACAGAAACATTAAGTAATTGTATTTCAAGAGAAATTCTCTCCGTGAAACAATTCAGCATTAATTACCGTTCTCCATTTTGGATAAACTAATTTTCTAATTGCATAATCACACCATTACAGAGGCAAAACAATAACGCCAATTTGAAAAAACTAAAATATTAATCAGCTCGATATAGACATGCGATATTAACAACTCAATTAAATGATTGTTATCTGGGACTAATTACATTCAAATTAGTAGTAATTATTTTTTATGTTTTCGAACACCTCTTCGCTTGGCAGTGTTGTTAATTGAGATACTCAATTTTATACACAGTGAGTTTTCGGTTATGATTCGGCACCCCTAGTGTGCTTTAATGTGTTGAATATTCATTTATAACAGAACTTGTTAGCTAGTTGACTTTCCTAGTTCGTTAACTTTGATCCTAACTTGTACGATGTAGAAAATGACGAATTATTTTAGCTCTTTCTAGTATGCGTCAGGTGTTTAGGTACAGGACGATTCACTCTGTATTTCTTATGCTTTGAATATCTCGTGAGCCTTGGCTGTTTTAAAAGTGTTACGAATTTTATTCTATAATGACAAAAAACAACTTAACCTATAATTTGACTGACCTGTGATCTAGAATACAGAATCACACGACCTGCCATTCCTCCAAAAAAGTGTTCCAAAATGGCAACCAGTCGCCATTTTCAACTCACACCTTATGCTAAAAGATAAGATTTTTTAAATGGTATACGTACTCGCTGCGTCTGTATGAAGTTGAGACATGAACACTTAAAGGAGAAAAAAATATATAATAATATGTCTGTACAGAAGGATTCTGAAAGTACCGTAAACAGATAAGGTCAACAAAGGAGAAATACTAAGGTGAATACAACTTCAGAGCTAGTCATATCGTCAAATTTCCTAAGCTTCAATAGCTAGAAACCAAGTCTACTAGGAAATCGGAGGAAAAAGAGCCCTGGGACGGAGAGGAAAATTCTCACTGGCCGACCTAAGAGCCTGGTTTGAGAAAACATCAACGCAGCTATTCCCGGTAACAACCAACAAAATTATGATAGCGAAAATGATCGCCAACTTCCGCAGCAGACAAACACCCTAAGAAGATGAGGAACAAGTTGAAACACTCTCACTAATACGAATACGTTCCGTTACGATAAAAAATCAAACTACACCTCACACTGATCAAATCCTCACGAAATGACGAGAAACACCCTATTTAAAATGTTAACCACTCTAAAAAAATTGCATTGTCTCCGCTAAAAACTAATTTTCGGAAACTATTCTTTTGCTCTTTCGATCGCTGCTACTGTACCAATTTTCAAGGATACAGCTTGACTAAGTATGCAGACAGCAAAGATAGTTCTTTGTTGTCTACTACCATACTGCAAAGCACTACTTTCAAGGACGCATTAGAATCTTAGAATACATCGTTTTCGAAAGTTTTTGACGTCGATCAGTGCAGTTGCTTATACTCGTATTCCTCAAGTTCAAAAACTTCGTTACACATGTATACATGGTTTCTGAAAATTCGTCCCATTCCTACCAGGATGTGATAAGGAACATACAGTGCATAAATTTTCCCCCTCTAGCATAAAGAACCCAATCTCCCAAAATTGGGCATTTGAGCCTAAAAAATTAAAAAGCAAACAAGAAATGCGTGAGAATTCGATCAACTTTTGTAATTTATATCTAAATTAAATTAATACAACCATAAAAGCTACAAAAATCTATACACAAAAAAATATCATCTGTTAGGGAAGATAAGACAGTTTTCGTTTCCAGCTTTCTCTTACTCTTTAATGTGCTTGTATATTGAGCGTACAAATTACAACCTCCCTCTCCCCAATACCCAACCCGGTCAAACGTGGTAGCGCTGTCTCAACATATTAAACACTAGGTTGTGGCGTGTAATATCAGATCAACAGAACGATACAAAGTTTTAAGGGCTAAATTACGGAGAAATCTCTGATATGTGAAATATGTCTAATAAGTGCGTAGAATTACCAAGGTTGGGATCGTCTAAATCTACTTGCCAACATCTACAAATTGAGATATATCCGCCCACTCTTCTAGAATATCGCCCCCCTCAATTTGAATACCTCTAAAATTTTTTTTCAAAAATGATCAGGCTCAAAAAACAAAGTTTTGGCGATTTCTATTTATTTTTTTTGTTTACGACCTTTTTCTACTCAGCCTCTGAGTCCATTTTCAAAAACTACAAAGCTTTTCCGTCCTTGGCATAGTAGTAATATTGTGTAAATATTTCAGCAACATACTAGCGGTATTTCTCAAGTTATAGGCGGTTATAAGGTTAGCGACAGATAGACGGAATGTACGTAATATCCAAAAAACATAATACCTCATTTTTGAAAATTTTCGCGGTACAGCACTTCCCCGCCAGTAGACGTGGGAAGTAAAAGCCTTTAATTCCTAAGAAATAGTAAATCAAACGAGTTTAGGTCAATTGAATAAATTATATTTTTTATGAAAATTTCAATTTCTCACAAATACTGCTCAAACCGAGCCCCTTAGTTGCCACAGGTGCTTTGCTAAAGACTTTACTCTAGGATAACAAATTGTCTGAAGTCTGATACCTATTTATGTCACATGTTTACTATATGCAGCTTCTTATAAGCTCCACAGATGCAGAAAATTCTGCAATGATCAGTGATTGGAATACGGTAATATGGTTATCTGGTTTTATGATTTTGTCAGGCCGCTAGGAAGTTGATTCGGAGAATGGGAAAAATATTACGAGGGATGTCTGTTAAGTTTTGCATATGGAAATAAAACAACACGGTAGGTAGTTTTAAATGACTTTACTGTTTTTCGAAGTATTCTCCACGAAGATTAATACACATCTGCATGCGCTCGAACCAATTTTCGAAGCACCCCATCTAGCAAAGTAGTGCTATAAGCTTTTGGTAAAAGAACTTTTCAGCCGTAAAAGCTCTCTATTGTTGTTGCATGAACACCAAAATGCTGGCTTAATGTTGTGTGGAATGCAAATTTGCTTTCTGCAGCATATTTTCTCTAAAATGAGGTGTTTAAAATATTCTTATAGCATAGGACAAATTTTGAACGGTTGCATAAACGTTTATACAACTATTTTATACGGCATATTTGCGCGGTAGTGAAAATAGTTGTGTTGTGGCATCCATGGTCACGTTTATACAACAAACCCGAGCCTTGTTGTTTTGGTGTGCACATTCACTACTTTACCCAACAAATTTCTTCCAACGGAGGCACTTATACAACTGTCGTTTAGTAACTGTTAAAGGCTGTACATCTGCAACAATATTACGACTTTTATAGTATAAAATTGCTGTGCCCGGCAGACATTTGTTGCAAAATATGCTGGTATACAACTTCACTTTCTGCTGTCAAGTTTTTAGAAAAAATGCCATAACCAATATTTTAAGACATGCATATTGGTTTAAAAGGTTTTATCAACTGTTCAAATAGGGGATATAGATCTGGTAGAAATTATGGGTGAATCATTCGACTCTGTCCGTATTTCATTTTAGAGATCTGTAAAATTATTGTATAACTTTGCAGACAACACCAAAATATTCCAATAAACCAAAGACAACATGGACGATGCCATGATCATCCATAAACACTCGCCATATTGGGCAAAAATATATTCCTTTATTGAAAATTGATTAATTATGTTTCAGTTCGATATTACAGATATAAAGTGATAAACATTCACTAATGTAATTGTGCCTAAATATAGGATTTGTGGAAGATTTAACGCAGATAAGTTCATCTTAAAAATCTAAACATACTTTTGATCATTATCAAAATATGAATCAAATACGAAGCCCTTAAAAATTGCGTAACTACTTTGCACGATAATCACAATAAAATTTGCTGCACAAGTAATTCAATAGCCCTAGATCACCGTCTAGAAGTTTATCATATACCTGTGTATGAAATCCACAATGGCCGATATGTAAGTAAACAAGATGACCGTGGTTTTTTTTTTTTTTTTTTATACTCCAACTACCACGAAGGCCTAAGGCCTAAGCACCCATTGGGTACCGTGGGGCTATGGGGGATACATGGGAAAGGGGGGACGCCACACGGACTCTGGCGAGGGAACACGTGTGCATGCAACATGCACACATTCTGGCTCCGCCTACGAGAACCGCCGGGTGGTACCTCCGCGTTCGACAGTCAGAGACCATCTACCACCTACGGACAATCACAACATCTATGGCCAAGAGAAACATTTCTCCTGGGACGGGACTCGAACCCGCACAGCGCACGGCGGCTGATCAGGAGACCGAAGAGTCTACTATTGCGGCTACCGCTGCTGCCTAAAACAAAACACACAACATCCATGGCGAAGGCGAGATTCGAACTCGCGGCCCGGTCGGCCGGCTGATCAGTAGCACGACACTCTGACCCACGCGGCCAACCGAGGTCCCATGTGTGTTAGTTATCGCCTATACAATACCTAAGAAGTAGTTTGGTTGCAATAAAGTAGAATCATGTAACAGTATAGTTTGTTGTATAGTTGACAAAAACTGAATCTTGCACTGATCCAAATGTTCTATAGCGACTGCAAGAGGTTTACACTTTTGTTGTATAACTGTTACCTGCAGCCCTTATACAACCTCTTAAATGACTGAAGTGTCCTATTAGGTGTGCCCATCTCGCCTGTATAGCTGTTCTAAGAGCGTTTCGCCAATGCTTTTACAACATACAATGCTATGTAAGGAAGGCTGTATAATCGTTCTTGGAGCTCTAATAGGAGTGATAATTATTAGTTGGGACTTATTCCACTCGTTTGCTGGCAGATAAAAAACGGCATTTCTGAATGCGTCAACTGCTTCTTCTGATGACTAGAACCTTTGACCACGCAGTCTGTTTTTAATTTTCGGGAAAGTAAAGAAATCGTTAGGACTTAGATCGGGACTATATGGAGGATGGTCCAATAATTCCACGTTTTCTTCCGTTAAATACTGCCTTGTTTTTTGGTCTGTGTGCGAGCTTGCATTGTCTTGGTGGAGGATGATTCTTTCGGGTATGATTTTTCGAAGCTCGGTGATGACTTTTGGCAAACAAAAGGTGATGTACCAATCCGCAGTAACAGTTCTTTGGTCATTAAGAGGAATTGTTGCAATATGACCTGGTTTTGACACAAATGTTGCGACTATCTTTTTCGAAACACTTCGAGAACGGATGACTTTTGTTGGCTTTTCTTCACCTTGGAACACCCAAACAGCCGACTGTCGTTTATTTTCTGGTTTTTAACGATTCATCACCACTAACAATGCTGTACTCATTTTTTGAGTTTCCGGAATTGAATCGGTCAAGCGTTTTTTGACACCAATTAACCCTGGCTGCTTTCTGCTCTTCAGTCAACAGAAACTAATTTTCTTACTCCTAATTCTTCATGTAAATTTTTTTGAATCGAGGTCTTTGAGATCTTCAAGGACGCTTCAATCTCGCGATATGTCACATGTCTATCTTCAATGATGAGTTTGCGCACAGGATCGACGTTTTCCTGGGTGATTACCGTTTTTGGTGCACCCGCCCTGGAATCGTCGCTAAGACTCACCCGTCCACGTTTGAATTCTCCATACTAACGGGAAATTGTCGACTGATGTGGCGCTTCATTGCCGAAAACAAACAGTATCTCAGCAAGGCATTCTTGTTGCGATAATTGTCTCTGAAAGTTTTAATAAATTATGGCGCGAAAATGTTCTTGGTTGAGTTCTATTTTTCTAATGACTTGGTGACACTTAAAAATTCACTGTAGTGAGAACACTGCTCGTATTGTTGTGAAACTTTGAATTTAAGTTTACTAAATAGTGAGGTTAAGATTCAGTAGTGACGTTCGATCCGCACGGCCTACTATGTTTGTATATGCAAAACTTAAAAGACATCCCTCGTAGATGTAAGTATTAGTTAAAAATTCTGGATTGCATTTAAATAGAATGCAAAGAATTTTGGATAAAATTGCATCAAATGGTTTGTCCATGATGAATGAGTGTACAGATTATTTTTTGAAAAGTAGACAAAAACTTTGATTTGGCTACTTTTTTTTGGAATCTGTAAAGGAGGGCAACTGACACCCCGTGTCCTTCTTAGTGACGCCCTTGTTTAATACCTTCTTGGAAAGCTGACTACACGGACAGGTTTTTAAGGAAAGCTGAAAACGTAAACTTTTCCGGGATAGCAATTAGTTTATTGTCTAGTCTTTTTGCAGTTCTCAAGGTTATATTAACCTAATTTAAGCATAAACTACGAAATTTGATTCACACGTTATTCTTTCATAGTTTTTTTTATTCACAAAATTTGAAAAACCTCGAAAAGCTTTGATTGTTGAATATAGATATCTATAGTGAAATTTGATGCATTTTAGATTCCTTATCACGCGCTGAAAGCAATACCGCAAATAACCAGTAAATGTAAGCTTTGTGTTTCCAAGATAATCCTTCTGTAGTGTATAGTACCAACAACGGATCCACAATAATTTCCTTGTCTTCATACGTCTTCATTCCAAGAAAAATCCCCGGCTATCAAAAAATATGTGTCCAATTACACCAATCATAAAAGTAGACACAACTCGTTACTGCGTCCCAGCTTCCATCTCCCCCGTCCTCTGTAATCTGCAGATAACATCGGAACAGAACATAAGCCGCAATTCATTACAATTTCCAAGTGAATCCCCTTGGACCATCACTGCGTGCGGCAGAGGAGGGTCGAAAACGCATCCTATAGAGGGACATGTTACATGGATCAAATAGTAACGATGCGATGCGAGCTGCCTAAAAGCTTTGCCAGCAAATAGGTTTTTTCTTAATACTCGACACAATCGTGCTAAGGAACGATAAACAGACCTTGATGTAGTGTGCAAGGAGGTGATAATAATGACAACTGCCATCATGAAATAGTTCGCCACAGCTAATACATCTGCGGCCTGTAAGCTGGAAATAACAGAAGGTCCCTATGTCCTCTGGGCTATAATGAAGACAAACGGTGAGTGTCCAGGTATTACTATGTCCGATTCCTCATGGAACACCGTGTATAACGTGAACAATGGTAGAGTCACAACTGATCTCTGGGGAACATCCGCGTTGACATCATCGGTGAAACGAAAAACATGCTAATTATGGCGAATATATTACGACCGGAAAGAGCGCCGCCCACCTATCTGTAAAGTCTCTTTTGGAGATCATGTGGTAGTTTGTGTAGGAGAGTAGCCTGCCACATATGATCGTAAGCATTTGTGATATCGGTACCAGCGGTATCACGAAATGACTGAATGGGCTTACTCCATAAGTGTAAGACAACGGGTGTTTTCTTTTTCGAGGTATAGAACTTTAAGTTGGCATTACTTTTGAAGATGGCGACCGATTTGACAGCTGTCAGGTGATTTATTCTCAGTTTGGTTTGGCAATTCATCATGAATAGACTCACGCCTGAACAACGCTTGAAAATTATGCGGTTTAATTTCGAAGATAATACTTCTGTGTGGAATACGTATCGCGCACTATGTCCATTTTATCGTCGACAAAATTGTCCATCAGAGTAGTTAATTCGATTAACCATGGAACATTTTCGCACCACGCTTACTCTAATTGATAACTCGCATCCCCATAGACGCCGTACTGTGCGTACAGAAGAAGCTATTGCTACTGTAGAGCGTAGCATTGAGGAAGACCCGAATGAGTCCAATCCGCCATCGATCACAGCAATTGGATCTGTGTCCATCCACTTTATGGAAGAGTTTGCGGAAGGATCTTGGTTTGCGTGCTTAGAAAATCCAACTCGTGCATGAATTGAACCCAAACGATCATCAAGCAAGGCGTAAATTCGTTGAATGGACCCAAAACGAGATTGCCGTTGTTCCCGATTTTCATAAGCGAATTTTGTTTCGCGATGAAGCGCACTTCTGGTTGAATGGCTACGTCAACAAACAAAACTGCCGCATTTGGAGGGAAGCTGATCCTCAAGTCTATGTCGAAACACCATTACATCCAGAAAAACTGGATAGAGCCATGATTACTAACTTTTTCATTCCTGAATTGAACAATCATCATGTCCAGGAGCTGTGGTTCCAACAAGACGGCTCAATATGTCACACATCTCGTACTACAATCGATTTACTGAAAGACACGTTTGGTGACCGCCTAATTTCACGTTTTGGACCTGTGAATTGGCCTCCAAGATCTTGTGATTTAACACCGCTAGACTATTTTCTGTAGGGCTATGTAAAGTCATTGGTCTATGCGGATAAGCCACAAACGCTTGACCATTTGGAAGACAACATTCGCCATGTTATTGCCGATATACGGCGACAAATGTTGGAAAAAGTCATCGAAAATTGGACGTCCAGATTGGACTACATCCGAGCCAGCCGTGGCAGTACTATGCCAGAAATCATATTTAAAATGTAATTCCACAGGATTATCTTTCGAATAAAAAAGTGCATGTCAATCGTTGTTTCATTACAATTTAAAGTTCTATACCTCTAAAGAAACACCCGTTATAAGCAGAAGCACCTGGATGGAACTTGAGATATTTTAGAAGCCTCCTCGCTAGGCATTTTTCAGTCAGTTTCCGAATCTAATACTTGGCTTCTCTATAACTTGAACAGTACCGGTCAGATTTGGATGAAATTTACACACATGGTTACTCTACTATTTCAAGGAAGAAAAAGCTTTGTAGTCTTTGGAAATCAGGGTAGAAATTAGGTGTAGTTCAACAAATTAAACTAATTTACCATTCACGCAAATCCTAAAGTGGCGTCAAGCGTAAAAGTAATTGCAACCGTTTTCTTGGAAATTACGTTGTTTTCATTATTTGATATAGCATGCGTGTGATGAACAATACTCCGTGACATTTCACTGACATTGTAATGGCTAAATATTTTGATACTAAGACGTATGTTTTATGGATGCTATATTACGAAAATCCGTAGCACTCATTTCCGTCGGTCTGTCTGTCCGCCGATCCTTGACCCGTCTATAAATTGGAAAGTACCGCTGGGATTTTGATAAAATTTTCACACAATGTTACTACCATGCTAAGGGCGGAAAAGCTGTGTAGCTTTTGAAAATTGATTCAGTGCCAGCGGAGCTAGGGGCAAATACCTTGGGGTTAATGATTGCAGGAGGTGCAAAGGGTATATATATATATATATATATGTATATATATATATCTCAATTTTCTGTGGTATATTGTACGCCTCCAATCCCAGTAATTCTCCTCGCCGTTTTGAGAACATATTGACTTATCAATACGTGAGTGTTAGGGATATTTGTAAGTCTTAAGGGTAAATATACGGGGATATCTATGTTGAGTAGAATATGTTTGTGCCTTTACGAACTGATGACAGCGTTCCGTGGGAAGTACAGAGTCAAATTACTTGACGCCATTTTTTTAGATGGGCAGAATGTCAGATTATAGTAGCGGTAAACTGGCTGCAAGTGGCAAAAAATGCGGGAGAAGCCCTTGGGTATATTTTCCAATACGACCGCAGGCATTGTCTCAGGACCAGAAGATTTGCTATTCCACCTGACGATCTGTAGGTAACCCGTATCGACTCATTAATCGCACATACTAGTTTCATCATACCCCTCTTGAGTCGCAACATTTCAAGAGGCTAACTCAGGTCTACGCTCCTGAGGGCCTTGGACGGGAGATAATTCCCGATGGATTGCAGAGGGCAGGCTCCCGACTCTAGCGTCAAAGGCAACAAATCAAGTCTCTGTAACCACCGCACGCACATAGACAGACGGACGGACAGACCGATAATAATCCAACAGATCATCGTATCAGATCAAAGCGCATATGTGGTGGATTACTCCGGACTAGCCACCCTTCTCCCTATGCGCCTCCCGGTGCCGTCGATGGGGCCATTATGAATTTGCCACGCTTCTATTTATGTTTATTGGATTTGAAAGGGATGCATCTCGCCCTGGATGATTTTTAATGGAGAACTTGAGGCTAAAGGCTGAGTACGACAATGCTAGCTATATTACCTTGAACCTATCAATATGTCGTGTAACATTCTATAGTCACTATAGTCACTTAGTTGAGGAAAATATTTTATAATAGCGACGTCAGATAAAAAAGAATGATTGTATCAAATTGCTGGATTAAACCTTTATTGCTAAGAAACCGACAGTGCGCCGTCTGAAAATTATTCGTGTTCGTAACTGTCCTCTGAATCAAACCGGAAAAAAACTATCTTTAAGCGAAAATAACAAGATAATTTATAGTAAATCCTTTTGATGACACATGATTCAACCTTTACCGAGGATTCAACACCTTCTCATACTTTGGTTCATGGCAACAACTGAAGGGGACCAATTTATAGGATCTAGGTGTATATGTATTATGCATTATTTGAAAAAATGAATTGTTCCATTTTATTACTTCCTAAAAAAACAAGGAAACACTATTATCTCAGAGCGCTTCCAAACGGGAATTGCTAAAAAGCTAGCAATTGGGCACTAAGCCATCTCTAATATATATATATATATATATATATATATATATATATATATACATATATATATATAACTTGAGACGTGGTCATTGTCGTCTAGACCAGTTAGGTGAAAATTAAAG